TGATTGTGTCCATATCCTTCTGCCACCTCTCATTCTGCCTCTCCTCCTCCTTTTGGTCCCTGAGTCGACGCTGTTCCTCCGCCTCTTGGACATGGCGAAGGAAGCTGTCATCACTGTCATCCACCTCCTCAGACCTCTCCTCACCAACCTCCGACCGCTGCTCTGGCTGATGCTCGCTGAATCGCACCTTCTTCTGGCCTTCTAGCCGCTTCTGTGCCTCCTCCTCCTCCTGTGCATGCTTCTTCTTTTGCTCCTCCTCCTGTGCTCGCTTCTTCTTTTGCTCCTCTTCTTGCAGCTGCCTCTTTTGCTCCTCTTCTTGCAGCTGCCTGTTCTTGTGCTCCTCCTCCTGTGCTGCTCGCTTCTTCTTTTGCTCCTCTTCTTGTGCCTGCCTCTTCTTTTGCTCCTCCTCCTGTGCTCGCTTCTTCTTTTGCTCCTCTTCTTGCAGCTGCCTCTTCTTCTGCTCCTCCTGTGCTTGCTTCTTCTTTTGCTCCTCTTCTTGCAGCTGCCTCTTCTTCTGCTCCTCCTGTGCTTGCTTCTTCTTTTGCTCCTCTTCTTGCAGCTGCCTCTTCTTTTGTTCCTCCTCCTGTGCCCTTTTTTTCTGTTGTTCCTCCTGTGCTCGCTTCTGCTTTTGTTCCTCCTCCTGCGCTCGCTTCTGCTTTTGCTCCTCCTCCTCCTGTGGCTGCTGGTCCTTGCCACCGTCCTTGGCCTTGCCCTTTTTGCCAGCATCCTTGCCACCTTTGTGGCCCGGCTGGCCTTTGCCTTTTCCTCCGACCACTGGGCCGTCCTGCCCGTAAAACGCTCACCTGGCAGGGCCGGGTTGAAACACACTTACACAGACATAGGGGTGCTGTGCGACCTCATGAATAAATGCAATGTCGAGGCACACAGCTGCTCCATTCTCTCCCTGATGTAGGTCGATATTATCTTCGAGACGTCCTGGTAAATGTGCGACTGGTCGTAGTCGAGGAATTGTCCTCAGGGAATCGAAGGAATAGACCCTAGCAAGCCACCCAACCCCCAGTGCAGACAAGGCTCTCACCAACTTGTAGGTCAAAGCATGAGCATCCCCGTTGGAGGACGGATGCGATATCAAGGATAAGATGTTCTTAGTCAAATCCAACTTCAAGGGGTGAACATACTATGACTCAACAGCTCTCCTGGCTAAACCAATGCCGAGCGTCGATCCATCCTGAAACATCAACATCCAGCTTGACGAGGCAAGCATAAAGGTCTGGTGCCAGCGCCCGTACTTTGGCCGACACCTTGGCTTCCGGGAACCACAACCAGAAGCTCGTGAAACGGTTGAATATTCGTAATGAAGCCTGGCCACGACCCAAAGTGCATCATTCCACTGGTTTTCGGTGAGCCGGGTCCGAGGTGAGCCCGAATTTCTCGGACGATACAAGACCATGTTCGGAGTCACCGGCGAAACGTACGAGGTCGCCATGGCAGAATTTTTAAATGCCTAGGTCTGACCTTAGATGCTGAAATTCCTCTGACCTGGAGACATGAGCACCTTTTGCATGTCCAGCAGCCCGGTTAGAGCACCTACTACACCGACCGGATGGCCTATGACTGAGAGGAGCCTGAAATTGGATGCCTGACCTTTTCTGACCTGGCCTGGGTATGTGAGCACCTACTATTGGGCGGGGCCTGGGCATGCATGAGCTGTTGCTGCCTCTTGTGTCATGAGACCACCGACCGGTCTTGAGTACAGAACGGCAGAATTCGTTCAACCACTGCTCCAGGCACACATGCTCCAGTTCTTGCCAACTCAAATGAGAGAACAACAGCAGAGGCAAACAGGCGAAGCAGGCCTTCCCAAAGGATGCCTCCGGTCCAACTGCACCATAATGGTTGACCTGCAGCAGCAGGGGGACACTGACAAATTGTCCAACAACTTTAAACCTGGATTGGCCTCGGACCTGGAACTTCTCAACGATGCATCGTGACCTGCAAGAAGTCCGTGGGCTACAATGCTACATGACTAGAGGACCCACCTTCCTCCGGCCCCACCAGCTGAAGACTTCTGTCCTGCAGCCAGGAGCAATGCAACCAAACACAAATAAACAAAGCCCCTTAAACTCGGATCGGCCTCTGACCTTGAACTTCTTGCTGTGCACTGACCTGCCAGACAGAGCAGTCTTCAAGCCAGCATCGAATCTACCTTGTGCTATGATGATGCCTCCAACCAGCTGGAGACATCGTCGGACCTGCAGCAAGAGCCACTCCCAAAATGCACAAAAACCTTAAACCTGCATAGGCCTCCCACATAGAACTTGTTCATGAGCACGGGCCTGCATGAAGTCTAACAAAGAGCAAGCTACAGGTGCATGATGCAAGAATCAGCCAGCCTCCTCCGGGTTGGACCTGGCATGACAATGTGTGAGCGGGTGGGGGCGGGGGCACTCCCAATTGGTCCGGCCTGAGTGAGCAAGCCCACCAGAAGCCGCCAAGGTCGGCCTCAGGCGCGGTGGTAAAAAAAAAAAAAATATATATATATATATATATGTTTAACGATTTTGTCCGCCCGTTTGCCGGTTTAGTACTACTTAGGGTTTAGGGTTGAGGAAGGGTGTACAGAATATGGGATCATGTTGATGTCCAGATTTGATGCAAGATTCAGTGACCAGTATTGTGTCACCCTGATAAGAGCATGGGTTCAATATTTGAATAGTAAGGTTTTTAAGGGTGCAGTGGGATTCAGGCTTGGGGGTTTTGTAAGGGTAAACATTAGAATTAAGGGTGTAGTAAGAGTTTAGGGATGACCTGGTATCGAGTGGTGGTGGGTATTGACAAGGACTTCGCCCTGAAATCCAACCCATCCCCCTTGCAACTTCAGTCTATATATATATATGTATATATATATATATACATACATATGTGTATATATATATATATATATATTTACTATTATTACTATTATTATTACTATTATTATTTATTGTTATTATGATTATTATTATCATTAAACTATGATTATTATATCCCAAAGCCTCAAACCTGGGCATCAACTAAACCCAGGACCCTTACTGAAACCCTTACTAAACCCTTAATCCCTAAATACTAAACTCCCAGACATCCCTGAACTTACTTGGGTGTGGCCCAAGCCAAAATCTCCAAATGAACGGCCCCAGTAAACTACCTGGAACACTCAATTCCAAAGAAGCCCGGCCAATGCCCGAAACAGTGAACCCACCCCCTTTTTTTTGTGAACCAGCCCTTGCGCAGGACTGGTCACGGGGACCTCGAGGCTTGGTCTTGCACAGACCTGAAAACGATCTAGCGCAGGGATCAAAGGACCCAGTGGACATCGGTGGACCAGCACAGCAAGTCAAGCCGTTTGGGCATCGAGATTTAGCGACCCAGGGAGTTATCTGCCGGGAACAAGGTCCCACCCCTGTAGGGGCCATACCGGGCAGTAACCACCACTGAGAAGCGCACCCGACGCCTACTTTGGCGATGACGAGCTGCGCGGCGGACCACGTCCGTCCACTGGATCACATGTGATCCTGCGGGCGGGGTCTTGCTCAGACCTCACGCCTGGGTCTTCCTCAGACCCGTTACTTTTCCCGGTCTTGCTCAGACCGGAACACAACCCTACCCTAGCACAGCCGCTAAAATAAGAAACCGCCTATGCCTCAACTAATGCCTCAGACCTACCTCCAACCCGCGGCTGTGCCCTAAACACACCTAAAGAACAAACTAATCTGAAGCTTAGGGTCTTAGGGTGGGGGGGCCTTTAGATTACATGGGGCCAATGGTCTTGCGCAGACCAAAGGCCCCGGGGCGGTCTTGCACAGACCGACGGTCTTGCACAGACCGTAGTTGGCCCACCGCGGCCTTGTCTGGCACCACCGTCGCCATGATGAAGACGATGATGGCCGCTCCAGGGGGTTTGAATGGGAATTAGGGGTTTTGTAAGGTCTTACAGGATGTTACAAGAATATATAGATAAATCATGGTTTAAGGTTTGTGTAGGGCATACAGATTTATGTGTTTATCCAGATTTAACATTAGGCCCTGAATCAACCGGGACCCAGAACACCCTTTGGACCGTAGTAGACCATAGACTCTAAACCATAAGCCCCTTTAAGATTATCACACCCGCATTCTCAGGTCCCGGCTCAGCATGGCGATGAAGATGTCGTCGAGGAGCGTGGGCGGGGGGCTTTGGGCAGGCTAGAGGTCTAGCAACTTCGGGTACAAGATGTAACATGTCACTACTTCCGACCTCCTACCTGAGCAAAACTAACTACGGGGACGGCCGAACTACACCTCATATCCCACAAAGCAATGGATAATAAGCTCGAAACTCTGAGCATATAATACCACTTATATCATGTTAATTCGGCCAGCAAAATTAGCCATCAAATGTGATAAACGAATGTGCTTAAAGCGGGTCTTTTGGCTAACCCTGTTAAACATATACCAGTAGAACATAGTATAGAGCATAGCATAATATGGTACTGTAGTATATCATTATATGATGAGAGAGGAAAGTTTGAGCCAGGAGCCTCGTACAGGGCTGATGCACACATAGCACAAAGAAGACCACGAGATGTTATATCTTCGGCTGCAAGCTCCCTGGGGATTACTGTTTAGAGCTTCATGGAGAAAGGCCGGAGTAAGACTCTCAGGCATTTACATCCCCAAGGGAACACATGTCCGAGCCTGATCCGACAACTCTCAACACCAAACCTTTCAAAGACCGAAGAAACCTACATCCCGGAAGCAAGCTCCTCCATCGATGCCTCCGACCCAGACAGCAAAGATCTAGGAAACCTCCGGAAGCTGCTGAAGCTGATTATACCGGGTATGCATTACTACAGCCCCACTCAAAAACTAGGTTGGCCCTTTAAAGCCTCTGCAAAATATTCGTAAATAGGGTCCTATTAAAGCCCAATAAGGGGAAACATACAATGTCCCAAAGGCCTACCTAGAAAAGAGTCTCGATACAAACTCCCACTCCGGGAAACCCCGGAGCCTAAGGCCCAGGCCGGAAGACAAGACCCGCGAGGCCTCGTTGGAGGCGGCTTCGGCGGCCTGTGACCACGATGTCTGGCTTTAGGGAGTTGAGGGATTAGGGGTTTTGGGGTTTTTAGGGTTCATGGGAGTTTCCGAAAACAAGGGGTACCTTATTTTGGGGCCCATATAATGAGGATCCTACCATTTGGGGCCCTATATTAGGGTCCCCTAGTTTCGCAAACCTTGACATGGATCAGTGCAGAGCACGGGGGTGAAAACCTCAGGAGGCTGGGGGGCGCGGGGAAGGTTGGGGGAAAGGGAAAAAAGGGCCTTAAAAGTTAGAATAGGGCTCCTTTAAAAGGATCTATAAGGGCTACCATAAGTGATCTACAAGCTTGCTATAATGTGGGGCCTGAATAATTAGAACAGCGTCTTGGGGCCCATTATACGATAATAAGAATAAGAAACCACAAAACAGTAGATGTAGTTATTCAGGCTCCCATACCACGCACATACATACGTGCACTCGTTAGTACAAGCGTAAACGCACATACGTATGTACAGGTGTGTAGGGGTAGCTGTTGATGTTCGTGTGTGTGTGTGTACATGCATGATGGATCGCCACAGAAGTAAACTATTTGTACAATGCAGTATCCTAGTCTCTGAGCCCTGAATTGCCATTCCGTATAAGCCGCGTCCCTCCCCAAAGCATCGCTAAGCTTTCTCTGTGTATATATATATGTATGTATATATATATATATATATATATATATGTATGTATATATATATATATATATTATATATATATATATATATATACATACCGAAAAGAAACGGACAGCAAATATTGAGGTGAAACCACAGAGAGCAGCCTCTGCGAGTTGCTGAGTGGTGAAGATGCCGAGTCGCTCCCCGGCCTTTCAGCCGCGCAGGATTTACACAGTTGCGGATTTAGGATTATTGCGGTTGTGGTCTAAGGGAAGTGGGAGAGATCGTATGCTGCAAGGCTTGAAAGGCTTGAAAACTACCATTATACAGGTTTCATGAAGCTGCCTGTTTGGACTCTGTAGTGTATCAAGTCTGCTGACACAAAAGGAACTCAGGACTCTGGATCTCATGTCTCCATCAGGTCCACCGTTACCTATGATGTCCTGTGTGAGCAGAATACGGTCTAAGTCTACATATCCCGCATACTACCACCGATAAGCCCAAAACCCTACATAATGCGCCAAAGCTAAGTACAGTGAACCTCGGCAAGTTGGAACATTGGCTAATGCCGATTGGCGCTGCTTTGATTTAAAGGCAATAGGTATTCAATAGGGTATAATAATGATGTTGCAACTTTGTAGCTCCTAGTAGCTTCTACTTTGACTTCAACTTGCTTGTCCAGCTTCTTAGGGGAACTCAGGGTTCTTAAACTTCAGGATTTCAGGATTGTAGAGAGCTCACTTCTGGTATACAAAAGACTCCTAGCTCGACAACAATAAGTTAAGGCCCCACACAATTCCCAACAAGATCCAAACCTAAGCTCTAAACTCCTAAACGCTCTCTTCTAGACCCCATAACTCTTAACAAACCCCAAACCCCGAAAGCCACAAACACCCCCAAAAATGATCATCGGGACCAGCCCATGAGTCCTCTGAGGCAGCGCTGGCAGCGCGGTTCATGACTTTCGCGGTGTCTCGGCCTCATGACGGTGCATGTTGTTTTGCCTAAAGCTCCTTGGTCCTCAGCACTCAGCATCGGTGATTCCTATGTGGTGGGTTTAGGCTTCAGGGTGCTGCGTTTTGGGTTTGGGGTGTAGATTTCGGGTTTTAGGGGGATTTACCCTGGCTCAGGCTTTTAGGATTCGGATTTATGGATTTATGGGTTCAACGTGCATGAGTAGTCATGGGGCTCTATCTTGTTGCGGGCTGGGGCTGTGGGATCAAGGAGTCTTTCCAAGCGCGGAGAAGCCTGCCATGGGAACCCTTCACAATACTAGTCTTTGGCACAATACCATCCCCCTCAAACGCTATTTCATGACCTCGAAAATAGCAAACACAGTAGGTAGAACTGAAGCAGATTTCTGCAGGGGATGAACAAATTGAAATCCCTTCGTCGAATGGAGGAAGTGAAAGCTTGATCCGAGGTCTCTGCCCGCACCGGGTTGCTGTGCTGCTGCCCTACCTGGTGCACGAAGTGAGACTGAAGAAATCGACATGTCGGCACAACTCTTGGTAGAAGCAGATGCAACGAAGTGCTTCGCGCAAACGTGGCTCAAACCTTCAAATGCAGTGTGAGCAAGTGTGCATGTGTGTGTGTGCAAAGAAAACAAAGCTGCAGCAACACATCGCGCGGGTATGTGACGGTGCATAATTTATATACGCAACAACTACACATGCTGCACCTGAATTCTATCTGAAATCTGCGTCTTCGTTGTTCTGGAGGCTTTGAGGTTCTCAAGCTTGGTCCGAGTGAGGGGTCTGAGGGGGGTTGTGGAGTGAGGTATCTCGGCATCGGATCTCGGGTAAACCGAATGCAGCCTTACTGGCGATGTTGGATTTTTGGCTTCAGCGGGAAGGGATTTGATTCCAGAGATGTTTCCGCGTTGTCTACAACGCAACATCCTCAGCTTCACGTCACGGCCATGCTACTTTGTAGCTCATCAACTATGCCACCACGGCTGCTACAGTATAATCTCCATGGGCTCATTGCTGCAACAGCAATTGGTATTGCTGCAGCCCGTCCGGGCTGCAAACTTCAGAACACAACCATTCGCAAGCAAGCGTGGCAGCCGCCTGCCGCACGCGCAAAGATTGGCAGCACCACCTGACATCATGAGTCAGAGTGGAGCAGTGATACCTGCAGATATTGTTTACATCTACCGTTTATGTATATACACACACGAAATACATGTGTACTGCACGTGAGATTGCAAAAAATATAAACAACTATGAACGTACGAAACAAGCATGGCAACAAAGTGACGTTTTCCCAATGTGCACATGTGGATATGTCCGGCATGCACCGAAACAGACAAGATAGAGTCACTCAAACACGATCATCGTCACACCTCTGGGAGCATGCAAGTGAGTGTACTCACGTGCAAACGCACTTGCAGTATGATGTCGCGAACTCGGAGGACACAGCAATGTTACATATTGCGGTGTGCATCCGACAAACCATACAAGCCTTACGCCTTTAATCCTACACCCGAAACCCGTACATCCTTAAACCTTGCATTCCTTCCTCGCCCGCACGAAAAGCTGGCAGGATTCAACAATTGCAGACCCGATAACGGAGCCTTAACACAAAACAATAAGGCCCTGGTTGCTTTAAATGTGAACCCCCATGACTATCTGATGCAGCAGCGAAGAGATGACGAGGTTTATCCGACCCAAGGTGTATCTTCTTACGGTGGAACCTCCTTGTCAGTCGTGGGCTTTTGGTTTCACAGAGGCTTTCAACGAGCCTGCGGCTGTGCGGTCGCTTCAAGATCTTCCTTCCGCGCAGCAGACACGGCGGCCTCATGCCGAAACATGCTCTGGCAGAACAGCAAACCGGTGAGGCCCAAGCCGCAGAAGCCCAGTTATGCTGTATACTTGTACAAGGTTTACAAAGGAAGAAACCCCCAAAGCCAGTTCTCTGTCAAGCTGGCTAGCTGGCTTCCCGAAAAATGCTGACGAACCGGGATCACGAGCCTGTGCTGTTGAAAAGGAGCCAATGGAAAGTACCCCTAAACCCCAAACCCTTAGACTGTTCATGTTGAGATCGAGAATATGATGATACAGTAGGTTTTTGTTGTCTCGTACATACCGCAGGTTTTCAGACAAGGCTCCTATAGCCCTGAGATCTGCACCTACTATAGGGGGCCTTAACAATTTGAATAGGGTTTTGGGCTCCTTCATACTATAGTCATAATAAGGAACCCCAACAGAGTATATGCAACTACTTAAGCCCCTATATTTCATTCAAGCTCGCATGGCAACTCGCATCGCACGCAGTAGTACCAAACCTATCTATGTCATTGCAGACGGCCGTTCCGGGCTGCGGCCACATGCCACAACACACCTGCGAAGACATTACGCCGCTAAACAGAACATTTAGATTGGACAATCCTTCCAAGCTTGTCTCAGATAAGTTTCCAAGCGACTTCTACACACACGGCAACTCCAAAAGCAGGTGTTGCCCGCACCTGACCCGACATGAAGGCCACTTGCTCGGGGGTGCTGCCAGCGGCGATGGCTGCACTAGCAGCCTTGATGGCAGCAGATTTCACACCGAGACTTGAGAGGTTGGGAGGCGGAGAAGCAGGGCTGACATGGGTGGTTGTCAAACTTAGGGTCCCTTTTTTGGGTACCCTAAATATTAGGTGCGGTATATTAGAATAGGGACCCAAAAGGGACCCTAATTTTGACAACCACCCACATGGATGCTTGTTGATGTGGAAGCTGGCCAGAGCCGTACACTTCCTCGATATGAACATTGCGGCAGGATGATGGCATTTATTTCAGTGATTCTTGACACGCGCGTTCCTTCAGATTTTGGTTAGGTCGAAGGATTTACGTATGGGTTATAAACAGTACGGCTTTGCTGTTGGTATCCGAAGCTCCGTTATGCGAGTACGGCAAAGATGCCTGGCACGAGCAGAATTGTCGATGCTCCCAGAGTTTCTGAAAAGAGGAAGCTGGAGTCTGTAAACGCAAGTCCAATCTGGTCCAATCTTCATTGTTGTATCTACACTCATCCCCTTCACGCCACGTCGACAGCGGACCTCGACGAAGCAGCTAAGATGTCCAGCAGATCGTTGTACATTACGACTTTGAACGGTCATCTGCTTAAGGCTGCTGGCGCAAGTCATTGTTACACTCACTGACCGGATGCCAAACGCCAAGCCTCTTCAGCCACACACATGAGAACCTGGACAGGCCCCCCAACACCCGGTACTTCCGACCCGATTGCGACGCAAGGCTATCCCTGACGACTGAACTATACCGAGAAGACTGACACCCTACATGACACTATATGATTACTCCCAAAATCCTTAAAAGCCCAAAACCGCTTACAAGCCCTGTAAATGTTTCCCGTCCCGGGCACGGCATTCCCGGCTGCAGCGACGGAGACCTCCGCAACCTGCGGCGGAGCGAGTCCCGAGGTCCTGCGCAGGGTGCTTATCGGATTAGCAGATAGGGAACCCTAAACCCGGTTTTAGGGCTTCGAGGTTTGTTCGCCGGGCCTTTGGGCTTTTCAAGGGCTTTGGATCCAAGGTCTACAGCTGGAGTTGGAGGATCATGGGACTTAGTAAGTAAGGCTATAAGTACCTTAACTGGGGTTATAACTAGTTGTAAATACAGTTACCTTAGGGTTTGAATGCAACTTTAGGGTGAATAGGACAAAGGTGCAGCATGATATTGGTTTGCAAGGCCGGTGCTTGGGAGATAGGAGTTCTTCTAATTGTATACCGCCTGAGAAGCGTGTTGTCCTTGACGTAAGAAAAACATGCCTAATTCCACCTTCAGGCAGTCTCGGGTGCAAGGACTCGCAACTCCTTGCGGGGCTGAGCCCAGCTGAGCCCAACTTGGCCCTGAAGCGCAAAGCGTTAAAGGTGCTTGTGTTATGAACATCCTTGCTTGTCGTATTCGGACTGTTATACGTATACTGCTACACCCCCTCGTGCCCCGCTGTCTTGGCAGCCGAGGAAGCCGCGCTTGCTGCTACCTCTCCGGCCTGGTCAACATCGGGCTTTGGGTGTAGGGTTTAGGGAGTATAATTGGAATAGATAGGGTTTGGAGTATGTCATAGATATAGACTTATACTAGAGGAGCCTTACGGACTAATATCAGAATAAAATGGGGGGGTCTGTCATATAAGGTGTATATATATATATATATATATGATAAGGAACCCTGAGGAAATACTGGCAAATATTCAGGGGCAGCTTGTCTTCGCCGATACATGAAGGTTGTCTGATGTTGTCTGTGTGTGGTACAAGAACGAACCGACAGATTGAGTAGGATGGCTTACTTTTGGTTTTGACTGCGTGTGCATCACAACATGACCAAGATTTATCACGTTGCTCTACGTCTTGGGTTGAAAAAAGATGCCTTCGGGTTTAGGGTTTAGCGTCCTTAACCCTACTAGTAAGGCAAGGTGTGAAGAACAAACTGCATTGATGTTGCGTCTGGCCCACTACAGGCAAGCACTCTTTTCTTGCTACGAAGATGTAGGAACATCCGGCCTCATAGACTGCAGTATAGGACTTTAGGCTGGGCATGGAAGAAGACTACGAGTTCCGGGACATCATAAAAGATGGAGCAGCAACATCTGTCAAGGCCATAGAACAAGGTTGCAACGATCTGTCGACAAGCTGCGACTAGCCAAGATAAGGCATTTGAGGACACTGCGTATTTTCCACTGTCCGGTATGCTGTTTCTTGTTGCACGTCCCCAGCCCGCTCAGGGATCCTCCCAAGCCCTTCCCACATCAATGCACCGTGCCGCTTCTCGACCAGCACAAGAAGAGCTACAGTAATCTACGATCATTCTGACACCTGCCACGGACTGGAGCCGCTGATCTTCAGTAACACGAAGTCTCACTCGCTAGTTGATTACTTTGCAGCCGTCGGACCTGTTCGGGATCATCCCCCGACTCTGCAGCAGCCTCCGGGCAGGATGGAAGCTGGGGTTCTACGAAGCTGTGAAATGCTAAACAATGCTCCCGACCTGTCATGACCCACCCAAGCCAAACCCATCTCCAGCAGCCAGACATATGACAGCACTATGCCTCAGGGGTCTCGTTTTGGCGACATCCCAGCTCTAGACTCATGGCAAATGTTCAGCTTGTCAGAGACTGCAAAAGCCCCACGCCAAAAGCGCAAGCAATTGTTGTTTCAGAACGCCACATCCATTTTGTTACTTGAATGCTGTAGGGAGGCGATAAAGTAATCTGCTGGTAGATGCAGACGTTCAACCTCGTTGGTTGCAGATGTAGTGACGTGAAACAATTCGTTGTCGTCTTCGCAGCGTTGAAAGCTGGGCAGGAACATCGTCGTCTTCGTCGTCGTCGCCGGAGTAGTGGTGGCAGCAGTGGCAGGAGGAGGAGGAGGATGAGGAGGAGGAGGAGGAGTGAGAGGAGCAGTAAGAGGAGACGTAGTCGTGGTGTTGGTCGCGGTCGGCATCATCGCAGGAGCAGAGGTAGCAGTATCAGTAGCTACAGCAACAGGACACGTCAGAAAGAGCGGGGCAGGAGCAACACGGGTGGTGACGACAACAAATAATGCCGACGTCCATGTTGACGACAACAGAAGCAACATGTTCCACAGCAAGAATACGAGGACCACAAACGCGCAGCAGAGGCACAACCCCTTCACAGCCCAAACCCACTAACCCACCGCTTGGGCTTCATTTCAACACCTGCAACCGTCACCATTGCTGCTACCAAGAAAAATCCAAACAGAAAGAACAGATGATGTTTAAGTCTTCTTGCAACAGTCACACGAGATGGCAGCGCTGAATCCTTCTATGCTCCAGCCTGCCCAATGACTCGGCCCGCCACGGTCGCGGCGGCACGGCCGGCCTTATCGTAACTTTTCACTGTCCAAGCCGGCAGGCTTCAGATTTGCTTGTTGGATCAAGATCCGGGGTGAGGTCACTGCATGCCTTTCGCAACCCTGTGGTTTCGGAGACTCACACGGAACCTGTGAAAAGCTCGAATCGATGGCAAAGAATTTTCAGTAGGGTCCTCCTGGGATCCCAGTAGGTTGATCATGACCTGAGCCACTAGGGACTCCGGACCCTGGTGGAAAGTATCAGGGAAAGGGTCTATGTGACACAGAACATGGAGAACCCTTTCAACGGAACCCTATTCTAGTTATTCATACCACCCCCCCCAAAAAAAAAAATCTCCAGCTTCAAGGCTTGGCCCGGGGCCTCCATGAAAATTCCGTGAGCCTTCTCCACGGCCTGCAAGCATCTCTTCCTACCAGGCTCGGGCACTGTCTGGACTTCCTTTTCATAATGGTTCCTTTAAGGAACAGGTACCAAAACAAGTATTCAAGTAGGAGCTGTCGCAAGTTTATAGACTTTAGATGGAGAGATTTCTGCTTACTGCTTAAGGCTTGGGGATTCCGAGTTTCGGGTTAAGAGTTTAGTTTGGGAGACACAGCAGAGCCCTCGACCACTGAAATCCTCAGCCGCGAAACCCAAGCTCCAGCATAAGGTGAGAAGCAGGGGCTACCTTTGGCTGAGCCTGGAGGGTTCAAGGTTTCCCTAGCGTCTTTCCAGTATGCCAAGTTTTACAGCTAAGGTTCTATCACATAAAGACATGGTCACATGAACCAGCAATTACAACGGAGGCAGTGGGTAGGCTCCATGCAGCAGAGCTTTGGGGGCTGGAGGGGGGTTTGGGTGTCCAAGAGTTTCAAAAGAAGGCTCCCACTAGCTGCAAGACATGTTTGGCTTTAAGAGCATACAGGTGGATTTCAGGACTTCAGGACTGGAGTTTTATACGGGATCTGGCTATTCGAAGCACTAGGGTTAGGGCTCGGAGTGTCAAAGACTCGGGTTTCGTCGCAGCAGTTTGGGTGCAGACCAGGGTGTTCTGAGTGAAGGCTCATCGGTTTGCCTGTTCCGCACCTATGCAGACAGAACGTGGGCTAGCCCGGAGGGTAACCTGAGAGGGGGGGACAAACCTTACTCTAAACCCTTAACCCTAAACACTTATCAACCGGCTTGAAAATTGGAATGGGGCTGCGGGGGAATATTCTACCATTACTACAATATGGGTTCCTAACAGGAGTATTTGTAGGTTTTTCGGCATTGTATATTATTTTCCGATGGACACCCTCAAACACGTCGCAATGCGGGACCCCAACAGTACATGACGTAGTAAGGACCTCCGAGTTGAACAAGTCTCACCCGAAGGAACCCCGTGAAATATCTGAGGCTCCGACGTCCATGAAGCTCCGGAAGCTTATGAGACTGCTTGGGTTCACGCCCATCTCTTCGAACACCTAGACAGTGCATGGCTTCGATGTAGCATGGGGGTGGGCCTCAGTCTAAATCTGAAGAGACCTTAAGGAACAATATTGGTAATGATTATGATACAGCGTAGCCTCTTCTAGTTATTCCAGCTTCTCTTTTTGTCTGGCAGGGCTCATTTATCCTCAGAGGCAGCCCTGTCACTTTGTAGGGGTCGAGGTTTCGGGATGAGGATTTAGGACTTGAGGTTCAGGCAGGGCATGAAACATTCAAGCCGGATACCCACCACCAGCAACAGCAGCAACAGCAGCAACAACAACAGTGACAACACCATCAACAGGAATAGGAAGAAGGGGCCCTCGCACCAGTCTTCAACTCAAGCATATCTGTCGCAGGAAGCAGAAGCAGGGTTAAAGGTTCGCAAGGAGTAGGATGGCAATCAGGTCAAGAAAGCTGGTGCTTAAAGGAACAACGACATGGCGGTTCGGAGCAGGAACCCGAGTGCAGATTGCCTGATGATCAAGATGCCGCGACGGCAACCATGTCCAGGGGCTTCTCGGACCCGAAGATGACTTACAAAACATGAGGGAGTTTCCGAAAATAGGGGGCCCTAATATAGTACCCTACATAGTAGGATCCTTATTATAAGGACCCCCAAAAAAGGTACCCCTAGTTTTCGGAAACTCCCATGAAGCTGAAATCTCAGCACCCAGACTCTCCGCCCCTGTCGGCCTGACGGAGCGTGTCCTGCAAGATCTGGTATCTACAACAGTATCCTCTACAGTCAAGAAGGACGACCGCAAACTGCTGGCCAGGCAACGCAATTTCTTTCACGGAAGTACCAAGCACAGGTCAAACTCCCTAGGTTTGGGTGGGACTCATGTCCTTGCTGCCGACTTCTACACTTAATTCAGGTTCAAAGGATAGTTTTCACATGTGAGTGTTTATCTTTAAGTATGTCGAAATATGTGTAAATGTTTAGACATGTGCAGCAGTTATACTAAGTACTATGAGCGAACATATGATCTGGCAAGATATGACGTGATGGGTCATGGCATGATGCGATCTGATGTACCATGACATGTTTTAACACATGATGACATCATATTGCAGCATGGCATCGCATATTAATTATATATAGACCCCTCAATGACCGACATCCGCGAGACATCTTCGCCAGACCTTGCCCTGGATCCCGACCGAAGGCAGGACAGGAGGACTTCATGCCACTGAAGAACGAAACACTAGATGCCCAGCACGCAAGCCGGTGACAAGTCCTCGTGAATGTCGATGTTTGAGCGGCTAAAGATCTCCTTGAGCTCAGCGAGGCTGACCTGAATAGTCTAGGGGCCTTGTTGATATTTACAAAAGGGCATTTGAGGTATATCGAAGTGTAGTCTGTATTACTGAGGAACCTTAATGAATATTGTTATTACTACGGAACATGCATGTTTTGTCATCAATGGTGCTATATTACAAATCTTGCATGGACGGAAGTTAACGCCCTCTCGACTTTCGGACCAAAGGTCCGGGATGTGGCTTCGAAACTGCAAAATCCAAGCTGCGTATTCTGGGTTATTGCAAAAGGATTTAAGTCAAGCCACCATAATGGGGGATCTATAGAAAATAATATGGTTTCTTTATTCTGGTAACTTACTTCATAAACCTAAGAACCCAGTATTGCTAGATGCCTGTTATTGCTGGCTTTGGCTGTGGCGTTGAGCTGGGCGCCTTTAGCCTATGCGGCCTTTATGAAGTACAGCAAAAATATTCGAGCTTCGCATGATGGGCACCCAAACCTGGTTTGTCTGGACCCGAATAATCGGTGGCAGGATTCAGGGTGCACCTGTTTTTGTAGCACTTCGCTCTTGCAGAGCATATAGTAAGCCCGGAAATTACGCCATTAGACCTCCCTGAACACACAACTTCGAACACGCATGTCGACAGAATCGCACACTCCATCGAGATCCTAGGACCCTAAACGCCCCACAATTCTCTAAACCCAACCTTCACGAGACATGTAGGACTGCCGCACCAACAAGCGCACCCAGCCCCAACCTCGAAAATAAGCAATCCTAAACCCCAATCCCTAGCGCGCCAACCTGTCCCGAAGAGAAGTGAGCATCCTGGTTTAGCGTTTAGGGCTTTCCGAACCCTGAACCCTTAAATTCTGAACCCTGAACCCCTAAATTCTGAACCCTGAACCCCAAAATTCTGAACCCTGGGCCCTTAAATTCTGGACCCTGAACCCTTAAATTCTGAGCTGTGTCGAGTTGCAGAATCTTTGCCGTTGTCAGCATCCTGCGGGCAAACTTGGGCTTCAAGGGCTCCAGACTCGATGGGGTCTCGGATGTTATGCCTATATTCATTTGTGCCATACAATATATGATGTGTGTGTATATATATACACATATGTATCATGTGCATATATATATATATGTATACATATGTACATACCTATATACTCATGCAATGTATGCTCTGGGGGCTATACCTAAGTCTATCTACACATATATTATATTGTAATATATTATACGACAATCTTATGTCATATGTTATATTACACTCTATATATATATATATATAGATATATACATATATACATATACATATACGTGTGGGTGCTGTGCTTTTTCTTGCCAATGTCGTACTGCTCTCTGATCCTTCAGTGCCCAATACCGCGGATTGCTGATTGAGTGTTTGCAAGTACCTAAGAGCTCCTAGTGACTTGGTGCTTCTGGGCTAATTTATTTGCTAAAGAGTTACGCCGAAGAATATCCATGAGCCCATGCTGGGGTCGGAGTCGACAAGAAACGGCTGAGGGTTTATGCTTTATTGGTTTAGGATGGCAGCAGCAACCCTAAATCCTGCATTGGGGGTAGATTGTATGTACAAGGCAGCAATCTCCAAATCTGACAACTACGCCTTGCAGGGCGAACTCAAGCTCGAACATCCACAACCTGGTGCCCTGACCCTACACCTCAAACTCAAGGCCCTACGACCATTATGCAAAGAAACACCCTGAACCACAAATAGTCCTACTAGTCCCTACCAGCCCGGATCCTGGCCTTCAATGCTGCGACGAGCTGAGTGTTCAGCTGTCGGGTGACCTCCAGGACATGGGTTCGTGTGGTTTCCAGGACCCTGCATGCTTGAAACCGGGAGGGCGAAGTTTTGAGGGGCTTGGGCCTGGGGCTATAAGAGAGAAAAGAAGCATCAGATCGGGGCATCATCTTTGGGTGGCCGAAACTTCCGGTCAAGACCGCATCCAAACCCCAAAACGCGCCGAGGCACCCGAAACCCTAACTAAACGGTACCCAAACGAAAGGCGACATGTGCTAAATGAGGTACCGTAGACCTAGAACGAGCCCCAGCCTCTGCAATGATGAGATAAGGATGCCCCGCGTTAATGGCCGCGCGGCTGGCAGACCTCTCTGCTCGGAGGCTCAATGTTGGGAACTGATGATCTTCGGGTTTGGAGTATGGAAAGTTTGGGCTCAAGTTTGGGTCTTTGGAGTTCGGTCTGTGGAGGGGAGGCTGGATATGGCCGGGCCCTTATTACGAGTGAGTTGGAGGATTATGATTCGTACTCACTCAGCTCCAACGTGAAAGCTCTCAAACCCTCAAAACTAAACCACCACACCCGGTTCACGCCGGCAGAGGCATCAGGAACCTCAATATAGCATTATACTAGCGACTCTTTATATATATATATATATATATATATATATATATGTATACCGTAGAATATTCACGTAATACTCACATATTACTTATACAGTATTCATACAACATTAAATATTAAACAGTATTCATGCAATACTCAAATGATATTCGCATAATTTATATATTCATCACATATTAGTGAGATAGTAATCACATCATATTCGTACAACTAGTATGATAAGGTATCATATAACCATGCCACCAAGGAACCTAGCTGAAGCAGTGGCGGTGGCCTCTACCGCCTCGCAGTCTCCGCCGGGGATTTGGGCCGAAGGGGGCGGGGGGGGGCGATTACGGTTCAGGGTTTAGGGTTTAGGGTTTTTTTTGGTTTAGGGTGTCGGCTTCTTTTTCTTGTTTTGTTGATCTGTGCTTTTTCTTTTTTTATAATAGATTTGGGGTTCAGGGTTTAGGGTTTCGGGTTAAGGAGTTCTTTAGAGCGCTGGGAACCTGGGCTTCGTGCCGACAGAAACAGTATAGCATCCGGCTTAGGCTTTCAAAGCTTGCAGGACAGAACAAGTAGAACAAGACATCTATACTCACTCCCTTTTGAGCCTATGCGACCCGAATAATTGGAGAGCACATGGAACGGAATCAAGCCTCATTCATGAATGAACTCTGAACTTTCAGGGTTTGGGTTTACGGCTTGTGAATTTATCAGTTTAGTAACCCTAAGGGTCCATGTACCCATATAGAGATACATGGGCCCCAATGTACCTATATAAGGACTACATTAAGGCCCATGTATATACTATATGAGTACATGGACCTTTAGGGTAAGTTTAGGGTTTAGGGTTTACGTAGTCTCTGAAGCTGGTATCCAGGAGCCTGGTAAGGAGGCAGCCCCGAGGTTGCCGCAGATTTCGTGGCTGCCTGCATGGAGGCTGCAAGGCAGCGATGCGCTAATTGGGGACTTGTCCGGACTCTACCCACAGGCTCTCTAGTAGTTCCTTTTGGGGATTACCTTATAGGTTGAACCACAAAAAGGAAGTACTATAGGGTAAGACTAAGGCCGTAAAAGGCTCTGTGGTTTGCACAGCGGGACTCTCGAACTTCACCGGGCATTTCTGCATCGCTTTGTTGTCTCTATGCATGTAGACAAACAGAGGCATAGCCGAATGCCAGGCATGATAAGCCCGTCTCTACTTGCAGCCACCACGCACCTTGAAGCTGGAAGGCATTACGAGTAACGGAAACTAGAACGAATGAAGGAAACTAGACCTAGAGCCTAACGTTCCCATCATGGCCGAGACACTGTATAAATGCATGTACAAATACTATATTATGTTGTGTTCTTCATCTTGACTTATCATGCCACATAGTCTGTTCTGTTTTGTTGTAGTGTTTAAATTAACATTGTGTACATTGTATGATGCACTGTAGTTTGTCGCACCTTGCCTCATGTCAATTTGTCTTGGATCTGCTGGATTAATATTGTCTTGTTATGGATTGTGTGGCTACAATCTTTCCACCTGTGCTCCGCATCTTGTCATGGTGCGTAACCGTAACCCTAAAAACCCGAAACTGAACTGAAACCGAAAATCCTGCCACAGCGTGAAACCCCTCGAGGTTAGGCACCTTGGCCGCGATCTCTGCGCTCTTCATTGCAGTGTTTCCAGCATCTGCAGCCATTTCACCTTGCAGCGGGCTTCGCAACATCAGAAGTGCCCGAATGGCCCATCCTGCCAATCCCCCACAGCTAATCTGTTTGCTCGATATCCGCACGACTCACCCTGAACCAGAAGCATTTTTGCAAACACTGCAAAACCTAAATCTCTGCTTCAAGGATTTATCGCCCACCTGTGCCACCTAACACCTCCCTTCAAGGAGTCGTTTGGAGCCAGTTTGGCCTGCCGCGATCCCCGCAGCTTTGGCGCTGACCTTGACCAGCCGCAAAACATGGGGGGGGGGGGGCATTGTAACGGAGTTTTTCATCCGAAGGCAGGAGACGATTTAGGCATCGGGGTTCATCTTGCATGAGTCGAATGAAGGCCGGGAATTCCAGACGAAGCAAGGTCTCGGGACTAGGATCCAGCGATTCGTTCGGACCACAGTGCCTTCTTGTTAAATGTTAGTCACCCGCTCATAGCTACATGACTCTGAAGTAGCCGGACGACCGCTAGACCGAAACTCACATCCGAACGAAACTCCGAAGAGCCAAGCATATGCCCATCAATATTAACATTGTCATTATAGTAGTACTATTTTAATGTTACTGTCAGTAGTCTTACTATTATTGTTACCATGATAATTCAAGCTTGTGTTCCCACCGCTGCCTCGGCCACGTGCTGCGGTGTGCTGCCGGCCTCCTCTGCAGCCGCGCACGCTGCGATCGTTGCCTCTCTGCTTTGATCTTTCTTCATCTTTCTTCGTCTTATAGGGACCTTAAGAACTAGACTACGGTTTGGGGGCCCAATATTCGATAATTACAATAAGGCATAATTAAGGCCCTCTCTTTCTCTCTCTCTCTCTCTCTCTCTCTCTCTCTCTCTCTCTCTCTCTCTCTATATATATATATAGTAATACCAAGTCTTGACAGACAGTTTGTGTAAATACAGCTTGCAGGTGCCATGTAGCAATGCCATCAGCAAGATCACGATCACCAAGCATCAGGACTGACCGTCACCACGGCTCAATCACACGAACAAGTGCCGATCACACACGCATGCGCAGACACACTGAACACACACACACACACAGACAAGGCAGAACTGACAAAAACACAGACAGGCAGCCTGGCAGTCTACGTGTTCAACCACCTGTTGACGTCCTCAGTAATTATGCAGAAAGTGATGAATCTCATGCTTGCTCATGTGCTGCATGGCAAAGTGGTTTTGTAAGACCTGAACCATACTTTTTCGAAGTTGACCTGCCGCAGCATCAGGCCTCCTCTGCCACCTGCTCCAGTGTCAGACCCGCATCGATCGCCACACGCGTGGCAAAGGTGCCCGCAGCTTCCGCTGCTGCGTCGGCCGCCTGTGAGATCCGCTCCAAAGACCGAAACGACGTATCATAGACTGGTGGGATGGGCCTCAGGATTCAATGCCGAGTGAGCTGGAAAGAGAGAGAGAAAGCAAGAAAGAAAGAAAGAAAGAAAGAGAGAGAGAGAAAGAAAGAAAGAAAGAAAGAAAGAAAGAGAGAGAGAGAGAGAGAGAGAGAGAGAGAGAGAGAGAGAGCGAGACAGAGGGCGCGGGGTGAGGCCACCTTGAGTGAGTGAGTGAGTGAGTGTGTCTGTGTGTCTCTGTGTGTGCGTGCCTGTGTGTATGTGTGTATGCCCGTGCGAGTGTGACTCTCTGCAAATGACGCAGATACGGGTTTGGTTGAAACTGAGCGACTCCATCCCTCTGCCAACCCGATATCGTGGCTGTTTTAAACTTCTTCTCCGCTCTTTAACCTGTGGAAACCATAGCAAACTGCAGCCAAATCAGGCCGTGGCTATTTCATACAAGCCCAAGATTAAGAAGCGTGCCGTCTTGTTGCGATTAATTAGTGCCTATCTCTGATGACGCTTTAATCTTCTCTTTTCACATCACTGCGAGAAGACCTGGCAAAATCCGGCCAAAGCCTGCACTCTGTCGGCGGTATCCGTGGCCAGTTTGCCCGCAGCTCGCCCTCCCAAGGCCGCTGCATCCTTGGAGGTTATCAAACTGGGTTTCAGCAACAGCTCAGTCATGACAGTTTCAATGTGGTCCTGTGTATCACCCAGGCCATCAGCATTGCGGGCATCATCATCACCACCACCACCACCACCACCACCACTGCCATCACCGTCACTGTCATCATCACCACCATCACCATCAAATCATCCTTATGCACTTGCTTCGCAACAGCATCATGAATTGCCCAAGGCGTGACAGTATCTACATGTGCCTGTGCATGTGTGTATGTCGACACTGATTTTTGCATGTAAGTCTTTCAGCCCAGGTGACGGCCAAAAGGGGCGTTTAAGACTCTTAGGCCTTAATATGAACCCTATTATGGAAACCCTAATCCATACTAAACCCCCATAGGCTAAACCTTTCTTGGCCTCCTATTTTATAGAACCCCTTATAGTACCCTTATAGATCCCTTATAGTGTACCCTTATAGTAATCCTTGAAGCCCGGGTGACGGCCGGAACCAGGCCGAAGTCCGAGGACGCCTTGGAGGCCGCCGTGGCGGCGAAGTCGGCGGCCTCTCGGATGCTGTGGCCTCCAGGGCTCGGTAGTACCCTTAAAGGGTTTAGGGTTTGGGGGTTTAGGGTTTAGGGCTGTAGGGCTTCAGGGTGTAGGGTTTTAGGGTTTGCGGTTCAGCGTCTAGCAGGTGAAGGTCCAGGTACGAGGGGTCCAAGGGTCAAAGGTGTGATCTTAGGTGAGAGCCATGTCCTGCGCCGAGGGCTGCATGGCCGATTGTCGTGCCAGCTGCCATGGCGGCCGCAATGCCCGCTTGCCGGCACTCCTCGACAAGGCTGTCGGGTTTAATTAGTTGTGGTAGTGATGGTCCAAGCGACCTGATCTGGTTGTCGGGTAGCAGGTTTCAGGGTGGCAAGAAGAAGCAGACTTGGCCCTGCTCACAGCAGTAGCCATGGAATTGTGTTTTGGTGTCAATCTCCTCAGGGAGCCCGCAACCTTGACTTGAACACGCTTTGTTCGTCTCAAACCTAATCAAAAACATTAAATCCGAGGAACAAAATAGTTCTAGAACCCTAGACCCTTCAGTCTAACTCAAGGGCGAATGAAGCGAAGACTCACCACTGGATCTGTGCAAAGAAGGCCTATCCCGAAGCCCTCTTCGCTGATTTGTGTGTTCGCTCAGCCCTGAACTAGTTGCGACTTCTAGGATCCATAAGCTTCTTAATAAGGGTTAGAGAACCCTAAACCATAAGCTCTGTCGCCGAGGAACAAAAGCTTAGTCCTTTTGGATTGGTTTTTGTTCGCCCCTCCGTGCTCCTCCTCGGCCCTCTCCAGCGAATCTACGAACTCGGAATAGCCTTGGTCTGTTCTCGGAGCATCTTCGGGTCAGCAGAATCCGGCGAAGGGTTGCAGCTTGTAGTTGCTTTTTTGGGGGTTCCTTTCAGGGATAGCTATAAGGGTTCTGTAGGGGTCTACAGACCTGAACAGTTACAACTGACAAGTAACAGAGTTTGGGGAGCACCTCTTGGTCGTCTATCGTGTACCTTACCCTAGAATATCTATACGTTGGCCTTAAAGTCGTCTAAGTAGTCCCTGTGTATATCAGGCCCAAAGTATATATTTATGCTTACATGGACCCTTAAGGATACATGGGGACTCCTTGGCCCAAAAAATCGGGCTAGACGTTCGGTGCACGATTTGGGAACTCTTGGCCATTTCTTGGGTTCAGCTCAGACATGAATATAGTGTCATATGCTGCAATGCATATACTGCAATACATGTTGAGCTGTGCCATTACGCACTTGAAACTAGGCTACGGTCATGGTTTCTTCTACGACGAATGCAGTACTTTACGTCCCTATCTCTGCATAGATGTCGGAATGATTGGGCCGTATGTTCAGAACACGAGGCTTGTACAAACAGCATGAGCATAGGAGTTTCAAAGAATGAGGGTCTCTTGCGTAGGACACAGAATCTAAAGAAAAAACCGAATACTGATCCAAGCCTGCCGCGCCTGAGACTGGCCCACCAAACGAAAGGACAACTTCATACGGAAAGCGCGGACTTTACAGCGCAACAGGCATAAGCCAGAACCCGGTGATCCAAGAGGCCCCCATTAGAAGGACAAGCTGCTGATGCGCCCCGACTGATCGCGATCTAGCTCCTGAAACACCTGCGCTGCTCTGATGTGTTCCGCTGTGAAATTCTTGCAGGGTGCGGTTCCGTAAGTCATAGCGCACCGCTGGTTGCAGCTAAACCTGCGTTGGTATGCGAGCTGCTGGCCAAGGAAGTCGGAGGCGAGGACGTTGCAATGTTCGTGCTAGTCGGGCAAAGCCTTCTACCTACTGTGTTTTACATATGTATACACATATATATATATATATATATACATATATTAATATGCCAAGTTAGGCATGCAGATGCCAAATTTCAGACAACCGACGCACATAAGCTTGCTGTGTCTTGGATAGCGGATTCGCTGCGAGACGCGGTAGAATGTACGGGAGAGTTCGCCTGCACACTCATTTTCAACCCGTCGCGGTGAAACTCGTGTAAAGCCGGGTGAGACTTTTCAGAGGAGGCGTGTGCATCGTAGCCAGGAAGCTGCAGACGTGGACTAATGTCCCCGTTGCGTTGTTATACATGTCGCAGGCTTGAGCCTCTCTTCTTATGTATCCTCGTAAATGAATAAACATATACGTATGTATGTATATATACACACATAGAAACCGAAGCGAATAGATTGTGGATTTCAGGAACAAGGGCAACAAATGCCGAGCAAGCTTCCAGGTGCACTCCTTCTCCTGACGTGGCAACCTAAGACCTGCGCATGTGATCCTTCATCAAACAAAAATGTTTACAGTCATGCTCTTTAGGGGTTTCGGGTTTAGGGCGTAAAGTCTTATGAGTGTGCAGAAGGAACATGAAGGCCGCATGCATGCGGTGGATTGCGTATGGTATCTGCAATTTGCCTTTGGGCTGCTTCTGAAGGCCTAACTGAGATTCGCGCCATTGGCAGCTGTCGCACTCTGATCTGAATTCGAAGAGGCAAGATGCATGCTCTTTGAGCGCATTGCCTCGAAGGAAACATGGGGCCAGCGTCAGCTGACCACCTGAAACTGCTGTCTCATCCATAACTCTAGCTCGTCGTCCCGCAGAAGCGTCTGCTTGTTCGCCACGGCTTCGTAATTCTTCGAATTGCGCTGAACTAACATGGCTGCTTGCCCGCGTTTCGCAGCTGCGTGCACCGAAGTCTTCATCTTCGGGTCCGCAGCATAGCTGTCGGTAGGCATCGTTCGGTGCAGGCGCTGGTGGCACTTGCGAACCTCTTCTAACCTTCGGCAGACAGAGGCAGAACATAGCCTAGGGCATGTGGTCTCGACTTTGTATGGCTTCTTTTGGGTGTCGGCACCCTTGTCCGCCAAGCATTTGAGACTTGAAGCGTTGTTGCACACACATACTGGACACAGCACCGCAGCAGCTTGATGTATGTGTGTATCTGTGCATATATATATATATATATATATATGTATATATATATATATACATGCATACATGCACATGTATACACATCTGTACTTCATCCCGGTATAGGGATATGGGGATAGTATAGGATGAACACTAGCGTTGTTACTACGGTGCCTGACAATGCAATAACAAGCAAGGCACTCATTGAAGACCCCCGAAGACGTTCCTCCTCAACAAAGGATGGTTCAATTGCAGCACAGGGTTCCCTAAACCCTGAACCCTTTTCCCTAAACCCTCGATCCTCCCTAACCCTAAACCTTAAGACCTAAACCCTAAACCCTTGTGTAAGGCACCTGAAAGATCCTTGTGCATTTCAAGGAACACCTCGGAGCGAGCGGCACCGAACCGGCCGACCATTGCTTGGACCTGTGCTTGCAGGTTTGGGGCTTCAAGGGGGTTTAGGGTTTAGGGTTTAAGGTTTAGGGTTTAGGGCTTAGGGTTTATAGGGGTTTAGGGTTTAGGGTACCAGTGCCCGGATTCAGGTTTTGCTTTGGAGTTTGAAGGTTTCAGGGCTTGAGAGTAAAGAGGGTTTGGGACTCCGAAATCTGGGCAGCGGCTTCTGCTTCAGGGTTCAGGATGGGCTTCATGTCAGGGGCTGTGAGTAGGGCAATTTTGGATGCTGGAGGGCTGAAGCACTTCACTAAAGCACTTAAAGGGCGGCAGAACTTATCCCACGCCAACGAGATGCGGGCGCAAGCCGCTCTGTCCGGCACAGCCACAGCCAGCTCTGAAACACCTACACAAAACCTTGTAGATTAAAGGCCCAATGCAGTTCCATTAAAACATTTACATAATACAACGTCTGTCGGATGCCGAAAGCATAGCATAACCAGTAAACAGTCAAGCCTTGGCTGAGCTCATTGCTCCAACTTCCTTGATGCAAGCATGTCCGGCCTGCGACCGCCGTGCCACAGCGCAGAAGTTCTCAAAGATGGAGTATCGGATGGGCTGCAGAGAGCCCTTCATCTTGATTTTCTTCCTGAGCTGGAGAGGGTGGCATGGTGTTTGATTTTCGACCTGGTCTTCTAAAGCCAGCTATTCTTCAGTTGACTGCTTATAAGGGCTTATTACTACGATCGAGGAGTCAGACCCGCTTCTCAGGACCAACAGTCGTTAAAACTAGGTGAGCCCCAGAGCTTAGTTTACAGAGCCTGGAGTACAAATGGTAGCATCGAGTAAGCCTTGCACCAAAGACAGGAGCTGAAGGGCAGCAAGCATCATGCCCGAGAACGAGAATCAGTGTAGCCCTCACAACCCGAAACTCCAAACCCTAAAACCCCCCAAAACCTTCAAGCCCTGAACCTAAACCCTTAACCGTTCTGGCTTGGGAGCCAGCTCTTACTCCTCTGCAGCTCGATGAGGCGTTCCTACCCTTGATATGATAGGATCAATGGCTCGAAACAGCGGTTTCAAGCAAATCCTGGAAGTGATGGACTCGACTACTGGTAGACACCATGCAAAGCCCACTGTGCTTCACTTTTCAGACAATGCTAAGGTCCAAGGCACTGCTTGTCCAACATACGCGCCTGTTTGGACTTCAGCGTCGATGCAGCATTCCTGCAACATGGAGGTATGTCTTTCAGTCTTGACGCAATGCTTCAGAGTTCACACAGCTCATGGGCAATGAGCGCCTCGACATTGCAAGTTTAGCTCTCTGGGGCAGCAGGGTACGGAAATCTCGGCTCAAACTGAAGGCGCGGAGTGATACACCGGACGACGACCACAGATGGCATCATGGCATGCACATGCCTGAAGCACCCAACTACTACACTCCAGTCCACTACACTAGCAAGCCCGAAGCAGTACTCTAAAATGCATAATTACCTGTCCTGCAACCTTCGCCCTGAACCCCATGAACCCTCGGCCCCGAAACCCTAAACCCTCTTTCGCCTGCGGAGGTCGACGTTTCGGTCCCGGTGTTTGCTGAGGTTGATGCGGCACCTCATATCAGTGCTCGGGGGCTGAAACGAGACGCGTCCGGGCTTGGCTTGAGGATTTTGGAGTTTGGGGTTTGGGCTTTAGGGTTTTGTTTTAGGGTTTAGGGTGTGAGCTCCGAGCTTGGCTTCAGTCCTGAAGCGCCGTGTTTGTGTTTCTATGATCAGCTTGTGAATCCGCCGTAGATGGCACGCTCGCAGGGCAAGCCCTGCAAGTCTCCAGACACCGGAACACTGGAACCCAAAACACCGAAACTGTCTCCACTCTAGAAGCCTTCCGCCGAAAAACAAGCGAAGAGGTGGTTGCTGATGAATGGGGCTCCTTTTGCAATGTCCACATGTTGCTCTGTCATGTCCCGTGGCGTGAACACCGAATCCGTGCTTTAATTTAAGCCCAAACCTCCTCCCGAATCCTGCAATCTAAATGCTACGGCGAAGCCCAGACAACCCGGAAATAGGAAGCCTTGCATCCTAAGCCTTAACTCCTGAACTCTGAAGCCTCGCCCAGACTAATCCTAAAGCTCTCAGCCCAATAAGCTGTAGAACCCTAAACGCTCAACTTGCTATAAAAACCAGAACTACTGTAATGAGACCCGACAAATCATTGAGCCCTAAAGTCGAACTATCCATGCTTTGGGCCAGGCACTTGCCGACTAAAGAGGCAGCTCGGGCCCAATACTCCTTGGGTTGAGAGTTTGCTTTTGTTGCTCAACTTGCTAGTTTTACATGTCCTGATAGGATTTTGTAAGGCTTTCGGAAGGGTTTCTCAAGGATTCCGTAGGGTTCGCAAAGCCGATTTGTTTCTGCTGAGGGTTTTGAGCTCGAGGGCCAAGGGTCCAGGCAAATCTTGGATTCCAAGTTTATAGGTCGGGCTTAGGCCGTTTTGGGAAACGCTAGAGCAACCTTGCCGGGTCGATTTTGTTTCGGGAGGTGTTCAGGATCCGCGAGTCAGACATGATCTTTTGAATGTGCCCTCCGCCCCCCTCAGCGTCGGACCTGCCAGGAGGCGAAGGACGGCAACGTCACAAGCACAACCGTCCCTCACAACCCGCAGAAACATCAGACTCCAAATGCGGGAAGGCCAGTGCCGAAGCTTGAAACCAAAGAACCCTGAACCCCGAAAAGAAAACTCTCCGAAACGCCTGGGAAGCACTGTCTGCAGAAGTCAAGGCTCACTTTCGCTAATCTCACCCTTCCGTCGGCTCAGAGCGTTGATCTCCGCCTGTTTTGGACGGGGCAATGGGAGCAGCGCTCCCGTCAATCGAGGAACACACCTCCTCCATAAGGCTCGCGACTGACTTGTGGACTTGCCGGCTTTGATTTTTTTGTTCATATAATTTTGTCCTGTTGCCTCTGGGATGATGTCTGTGTCTGTGTTGCATGCACAGGCAAGTACTACGCGCTCGTCCTCGCCAAGGTGGTAGCTGCAGCAATACGAACTATGCAGCAGCAGCAGCAGCAGCAGCAGCAGCAGCAGCAGCAGCAGCAGCAGCAGCAGCAGCAGCAGCAGCAGCAGCAGCATCTGCAGCAGTAGCCGTAGTGTCGGTTGCTGCCGTTGTGGTGTTTGCACTACTGGTGAACCCAAAGCGAACATAGTTTGGATCGGTCTGCAACCGAGCATTGCAAAGTGTTCGCCTGTGCTTGTAAACTTCCTGCCAATGTTTCCGATTCCGAGCCCCGATAGGCCCCAATGCCAAAGTCCCAGAATCAA